AAGGAAAAAACGTATATATTATACTGATTTTCCATAAAAGTTATACGTTATAAAACTTAATATTTTTATGGAATTTTATATCAAATTTTTTATTGGGATCGATAATAACTTTGGATCAATCAATCGCATATGATGATTTTTTTAAATAAGCATACTTTTTTTTAGATCTTTGATATCATAAAGCCTGCTATCTTAACAGAATTTTTTAATTCTTATTTAGACTTTATGTAATGATTGCTGACAGCTATAATCTAAATTGATAGACATATTAGCATAAAAGTTTGAGAATACCGATAAGCCTTTGATAGAACTTAGTGATTATAAGTGCTCTTATTATAAAAGGTCACTATAATCAAGAATTAACCAGGCAATTTAGCTAAGAACTTATTAGAGTCAAATTTTTTTATTAGCTTCTTTTTTGGTTTAACAATAGTTCAAATTACTTGTTTTTATATTGAAATTAAATTTAGGATAGGAATTATTATTAGGTAAAAAAGAGAAACATAGTAATATCTAGTTGTGTGTGTTGATAAAAACTTTATTAATGATTGTTTCCAAAATATAATGGAATGACCGGTTGGTCTGAAGCTAGTAAGTTTTTAACTTACAAGAATATTTTAAGCAGTTCTTTTATTTTTTCTATTATAAGTATTCATTTTTAGGATTTTCATGTATTTACCTACTGGATCTGTAATTTTATAATAAAATTAAGCATTACCACATCTTTAAAAAAAATAAATAATCATTTAAAAATAAAATTTAATTTATTGGATTATCTCATTAAAACCTATTAAATAATAGTATTTTTATATTTTTAAGATTAATAAATAGTAAGATACTATATATAAATTTAAATTTTTAATTTTTTTAATAATTATTTATCATTTATTTATCTTTAAAAAATCACTAGTTAATTATATTTTTTTTTTTATTTTTACTTAGAAAACATTATAAAATTTATTATAAAAGTATTAATTTATTAATAACATTTAATTTTTTTATAAAAGTAAATTAGAAGGAAATTTATAGTAAATAAGTAAGCAAATTTATTTTGTGAACCTTATAATTTAAAGGATAGTAAATGGATTATTTACAGTAAAAAGTAAGAAAATTTTTAAAAATTTTTTGTAACTTTCTTTCTATCTATTGCAAAGTATCTAAATTTAGGATTGATCTAAAACAATTTTGTGAATGGGTCAAAAATAAAGAAATTTATGAATATAGTTTTTTATAGACATATATTCAAAATAATTATTTTTTAAGAAGTTCAAAAACTTAGCTAAAAAAAAAAATTATACTAAGCAGAATATCTAATATAAAAATATTCTAAATTTTGTAAAAGTAGATTTATAGCTTATGTTTTATAATAAATTGGTTAATAGAAAGAAACTTTTTAATATAAGATTATATTGTATAATAAAGTAAATTTTATTATATTGGAACCTTTGCAATAGAAAAGAAGGAAACAGCTGGAAAAAATAAAAAATGAGTTAATGCTAAATTTGAACATATTTTGACCTAAAAATCTTGTTTGCCATATAAAAGTAAAATTGATTTTTTTCCGGCAGTACTCTTGCAAAGGTTCCATATATTTTAGAGAAGCGTTTTCTAATGGTATAATAATTTTTAATTATAACGGTCTAACTATATAAGGTTACAACATTCAGTAATTCAGTATTACAAAATTAAAAAGTTATCCATGTTGTATAATTTGTCTCGTTCGTATGCTATTTATGGTAAAAAATTTTATACCCATAATGAATACCCGGATATATTAATAGTGGGCCTTTATAAAGGGGATCTTTAAGCGGTAAGCATTTTTTTTTATCTTGGAATGAATTATGTTGATCTTTTTTTGTTTCAATATAGCATTTAAACTGTCAAACTTTTTCGGCCACCTCTTAATATTAAAGTTTAACATGGACAGGAAGATGGTTAATATAGTTACACAATCAAATTAAAATCCTTTTTTTTTTTTTTGAGATTAATATGTCTTTTAATGGACAAGGAGTCCAATTATTTCCCAATAATCACACACCATTTGAGTTTGAAAGTAAAGATATTTCTTCTTTAAGAACTTTAATTATTGATAATTATGATTCTTATACTTTTAATTTGTTACAACTTTGGGGCAGTGAAACAAACAATGAAAATGTAGTTGTTATTCGAAACGATCAATTTTCTTGGTATAATTTAAGCGACATTTTTAATTATTTAAATAATATCTTTTATATATACTTATAAATCTCTTTTTAATAGGAACGACTTTAAAGAGAATATACTTCCATATTTTGATAATATTATAATATCACCTGGGCCAGGTAGTCCAGTAACCCCTTCCGTATGAAATTCTCTCTAAAAATTACTAAGAAAATATGAATCATCCAATCATATTAACTGAGCAATTTGTATCTATCTTAGGATTTTGGAATATGTACCAAAGTGTTGGAAGAATTAGATCTTCCCATACTTGGTGTATGTTTAGGACATCAAGGAATAGGTGCTAGGTTTGGCGGTCAGGTATTTATAGGAAATAATTTTGCATATTTCAATTGTTGTTACTAATAATAAATTTTCCTATTTATAGTTAACAAATGCAAAAACGATTATGCATGGAAGATTAAGTTTAGTTTATCATGAAGAGACTTTTGATTCCATGTCTTTATATTATGGAATTCCAAATCCTTTTTGGGCTGTTAGATATCATAGTTTGGTTGTCGATAATAAAGGTTTACCACCTGAATTGATCATTTCGGCTTGGTGTTCTGATGAGAATGGTTCAATAACACCCCCTTTCAAGGAGTCTAGTACAATTATGGGTCTGAATCATATTAGTAAACCTATTTACGGTCTTCAATTCCATCCTGAGGCATGATTTGTTAATTAATTTTGTGAATTTATGAATTTTTTATTCTATTTTAATCAAATTTTTTTTAAAAAAATACATATATCGTTTTTATTTAGTCAATTTGTACCGAATATGGATATCAAATGCTTAGAAATTTTCAAATGATTTCTAAAACATTTTTAGAAAAGGTTTGAATATTTGGAAATAAAAAAAAAAAGTAATTTTTACTTTTTTTTTAAAAAAAAAAAATTAATTGATTGAATTTTTAATTATTGAATTTTTAGCGTGAGGTAAAGTTTCCTCGTAGCAAAATTCCGTCAAATATTTTGTCTCATTCAGTTTTATCAAATCATTCGCATGTCTTTAAACCTTTATCATCAGAGAATTCTACCAGATACTGTTTGATATTAAAGAAATTGAAAAAGGAATTATGGATTGAATCTCATTTAGCATTTCAACATATTGTAGCAGACGATAAATCCGCAGCCGGAACATGGTGGTTGGATAGTGCGAGGGTATAAAAATTATCGTTATCTTTTATAAAGTTTATTATATATATATATAAAATTAACTTTTTTACTCACATTACCTTAGCAACCTGATCCAGTCAATAGATTTTCATTTATGGGATCAACACCAGCACTTTCCAATTCATTTTCAATATCTTATTCAACCCTTGGGAAAAAACTTTTAATCACATGCTCAAATGGATCTGTAATTGATAAAAAGTTGGCAGATCATCAAACATTTTGGGATTGGATGTCAAATACTATAAATTATTTTAATCAACATATGGATAGTTTAAGGATATTGCATGATGATGGGACCTTACATGATGTTAAAGAACGAAAAATCCCCTTTGATTTTAGATTGGGAATGGTTGGCTATTTTGGTTATGAGATGAAAAGGGAATCATTATCAGGTTATACAATTCCAACAAATCAACATCTTTCTCAATCTTCTAATATACCAGATTCTGCATTCATCTTTACAACTCAGGCGATCATATTTGATCATTTAGAAAGAGAGATATGGTTATCAGGATTAGTTCGACTTGAAGAAAACAAAAGTCCTAAGAAATTTGATTTTGTAGAAAATGAGTTGGGAATGTGTCCAGGACTTTTGTTGGATGCTTATAAATCGTGGGTTACCTCTATAGAGAAGCAATTATGTAGTATCAATAGTTTCATGTCTAAATCTAATCAAATTCCACTTAAGAACAATAATCGGAATGAGAAATTATCCTCTTCAATTCCAAACATCCCTTTTACACCCGATATGAAACGAGATGCTTACGTAAAAGCAATCGAAAAAGCACGTTCATATATATATAAAGGACAAAGTTATGAATTATGCTTAACTACACAATTTAGAACCAATTTTCCGAAAAAATTAGATTATGATTTGGTTGAACTTTATAAACGCATTAGATCATTCAATCCAGCACCCTTTTCCGCTTTATTATATTTTTCAACTGAAGACATATGTATATTAAGTTCGTCACCTGAGAAATTTGTACACATTGATAACGAAGGAATTATGGAAATGAAACCTATTAAGGGAACCGTTGCAAGGGCAAAGGGATGTTTTTGTTTAAACGTTGAAGAATGCGATCAAGGAACTTCATGTGAAGCAGGGCGAAAGAAGGAAGACATGAAAAGAATGAGTCGTCTTAAAGATGATGTTAAAGAACGTTCAGAAAATTTAATGGTAAACTTTTAGATGAAGTGATCAAAATTTTTTTAACTATCAAATTTGAATAACATTTATTTTACTATTATTTTTAGATTGTGGATTTGATTCGTAATGATTTAATACAATTATGTCAACCTAATACAGTACAGGTTCCATACTTAATGAAAGTTGAGTCATATGAGACTGTACATCAGCTCGTAACTACGGTTAGAGGACAGCTAAGGGAAGGTTTAGATTGTGTTAAGGCTATACAAGGATGTTTTCCCCCGGGCTCGATGACAGGTGCACCTAAATTGAGAGCCGTTCAGTTATTAGATGAATTAGAACAACACAACACAAGAGGTGTTTATTCCGGATGTTTAGGTTATATTTCTTTGCAAGATGGAAGTGGAAAGAGGAGAGGTACTTCTCACTTCAGTGTTGTTATTAGAACAGCCATTGTTTGTGGTGAAACAGGTGAAATATCAGTTGGGGCAGGTGGAGCTATTGTTTACCTTTCAAATGCTGAATCTGAATGGGACGAAGTTGTATTAAAATCCCAATCTGTCATTCCTAGGTAAGAATTATTTTAAATGATAATTGTCGTTACTTTGAAAAACATTATTCAAACAAATTTGTTTTACAATCTACATTAGTATATTGGAATACATAAAGAAGACCTATTAATGAATATAATATTATTAGATAATATATAATATAATAACAAAACTTGCTTTTATAATTTAATAAATCATCATGCTAGAATCAAAACTTTACGAATTTGGTTATCTTTGTTATCAGAATGATTTTATATGATTTTTTACGGATGATCACGGCATTAAAAAGCCACACGCTAAGCAATACATCCATAAATATTTCTAATTCAGATGTGCCGCAGTAAACGAGTAAAAGAGTATTTTTCAACACATTGTTATAGTCATGCTCAAATTTCCTCTCCATGTTTTCTTGATCATTTTTTTTTTTTTTTTTGAACGAACGGATTCAATCCGCAGAGGGATGATACAAATTGATTTTTTTTTGTTCCGACAATTAAGTTCATGACATCATTAGTTTAGTGCGACCGGAAAATTTAAAGTTTGTTCCGTCATGCAGTATCTAGTGTAACAGCAATTCTATGATAAATCCGGAAAAAAAGGTGCATTATTTGAACTTTACAAGACGAACCTTCAACTTCGTCGAACGAAAAAAAAAAAAATATTTTTTTTTTAAAGAAAAGATATTTATAAAGGTTTTGTTTCATCGGAGTATTTACTCCAAAAAAGTTATGAAATAATGTTGAAAAGAGTATTATTTTTCTTTTTACTGGGTATTCTTTGTTTAACCTTGACCAAGGCAGATCGTATTAAATCTGATCGTTGGGGTTTCGAACATGCTCCAGCAAACTTCTTTTATTTTAAAAATAGTGACGTAAGTATTTTCATATATTCTGACTTATTTTTTTTAATTTTTTTCTTTTTTGAAAAAATGTCCTTGAGGATTATTAATTCGTTATATTTATTTTTCATAATAATTAATTAAATTTACCCATGATAAATTTAATTGAAAAAAAAAGTCACTTTTATATCTTGATGTAAGCGGTAATGTCTGGAGATCAAATGATGCGGGCGTTAAGTGGGATCCGATTAACGATATTCCAAAGAATAGCGCTACCGCTTTATATGAACATCCTTTCGATAATAATAAGGTATATAGACCTTAAAATAAATAAATTAAATTAATTAGGATCTAATGATCATAAATCGGGACTAATGTCACTTTGTTATTATCTAGGCTTATGTTCTTACACGTTACCTTAAACATTATAAAACATCTGATAAAGGGGCTAATTGGCAGGAATTTACAACAGAAATCCAACCAGCAAGAAATGATAGGGCTTTGTCCTTTCATGCTCATAGAGACGGTAACATATTATTTAAAGGAAGTAAATGTGTTGCTATGTTTGAATGCATAGATGTGGTTAGTGTTATAGAAATAAATATTTGTAATTGATAATTTTTTTTAAAAATATATATATATATAATAACATAAAAATCATATTGAACATACGATTAGACTTATTACACTACAGACGGATTTGATACTTCACCAAAATTACTTCATGAAAATATTAATAATTGTATATGGGCTCATTCTAATGGGGATTTTGATGAGACGCCCGAGCAAACAATTTACTGTATTTATTATCAAGGGACTGGATCATTGAGAAAACCAAGTGATTACCGTTTAACCCAATCTGAAGATTTTTTTGAAAACTGGGAATATGTTAATTTTAATTCTGATGGTGATGTCAGTGGCGTCATAGGTCTTGGAACAATTAAAAAATATTTGGTTGCAGCTGTAAAAGATATCAATTCTTTAGATATGAAAATGTATGTATCCACAGATGGGCTAAAATGGACTAGAGCACTTTTCCCAAATAATGAAGGACCAACTCATAAACATGCAGAAGAAAATGCATATACTATACTAGAATCGTCTACAAGTCATTTGGTAGTTGATCTACTTTCATCAGATTCTCATAATACAGGAAACTTGTTTTTCTCAAATTCTGATGGAACTTCTTTTGTCAATCGTTTGAAATATACAAATCGAAACAACAAAGGTTTTGTGGATTTTGAAGCTGTTCAAGGTGTTGGTGGAATTTTACTCGCAAATATTGTGAGTAATCATCAAGATGTCGACAAAGGAAGTGCCATAGCGAAAAAAATACAGTCAATGATTTCTTTTGATGACGGTTCTTCATGGAATTTTATTAAACCTCCAGAAAAAAGTTTAGACGGTATCGATTTCCAATGTGATAGTAAGAAAGACTGGCAAAATGGAAGATGTTCGTTACATTTACATTCAATTACAACCGCTCGTAATATTGGTCATATTTATTCAGCTGGTGCAGCGCCAGGTGTTCTAATGGGAGTTGGAAATGTAGGATCATATCTCCTTCCTTATGGGCTTTGTGATACCTTTCTTTCTTATGATGGAGGATTGACGTGGAGAGTCGTCAGACTCGGTGCTCATTTGTATGAATTTGGTGATTCCGGATCTATTATAGTTATCGTTGATAATGAACAGCCAACAGATCGTATTTTGTATAGTTATGATCGTGGTGAAAATTGGTACGTTTAAGCATGATCAATTTTTTCATTCGTGCTAGTCAGATTCATTGATAATTATAAATCTTTTATAGGAACGAACATCTTTTAAAGGATAAGATTCGTGCAAGATTTCTTACAACGGATCCCGATTCGACAACAAAGAAATTCCTCCTTTTTGGTTCAATTATATCGGATCATGATAGTAATAATCTATACTACATGTTCTACTTAGATTTCTCGAATTTATTTGATAGAAATTGCAATGATAACGATTTCGAAAATTGGGTCGCGAGAAATTTGGACACTGGCCCTGATTGTTTAATGGGTAAAAGGGTAAGTTGTTAAAGCTATTTCAATTTAAAGTGACCTTTTTAAATCTAAATTATTCGGAAATTTTTTAGTCATCTTATCGTCGTCGTAAAAAAGATGCCAATTGTTTCGTTTCGAATGAATTCGAAAAACCTGTTCCAAATGAAGATTTATGTCCCTGTACAGAAGAAGATTTTGAATGGTAATCTAAGATAATTTTGATTTCTACATTATATTTATTCTTGTAAACTCATTTTAATTTCAACGTTACTTTAGTGATTTCAACTACAGTCTTGATGAAGAAACCAACAAATGTACACTTTCGGGAACTGAACGTATTCCTAAAGGAGAATGTAAAGATGGCCAAGAAAAATATTTGGGATCTTCAGGCTATCGTAAAATTCCAGGAAACATGTGTGACCCTGAGAAACCAGGATCAATAGATCGTGCTACCCCAACTGAAAAATCATGTTCAGAAGGTAAATAACTATTTAATTTATTAAAATGATTAACAAAATTATAATTTATTAATTCATTTTCCAAACGTACTTTCTAGGTCAGTCAGATGGTGAAGTTTCACATAAAACTCTTGAAGAAGATTTCGATTTTTATTTCTTTTTCAATAATTCTCAAGTAAAAATTTTTTACCTTTATGTATTAGTATATTATTAAACCTTGATTAATTTTAATCGTATTAATTTTTTTTCTCCAACTTTCAAGGTGTTATTTGCCAAGACAACTGATGGCAAAATTAAAAGAAGTAATGATGGTGGTACTAATTGGTCAAATGTCCTTGATGATGCCGGTATTATTACGCATATGTTCTTACATGATCACGACGAAAATCGGGTAACTTTTTTTTTTTAAAAAAAAAACACACTACTACTCAAATTAATCAAACATCATTTATTAATTTATTTATTTATTTTAAATATAAGGCGTATTTTTTCTCCGATCAAAATGTTATGTGGTATACTACAGATCGCGGAGAAACTTTTGACAAAACTAAACTTCTTTCTGAGCCCAACAAACTTAATCTTCCATTACTTGATTTCCATCCAAAGAACCCCGATTGGTTACTATTTATGGCTAGTACTTCATGCCCTAGATGTCATTCAATAACCTATTTCTCTAAAGATAATGGAAAAACATGGGATGAAATTGAAACTTGGGCACAAAAATGTATTTTTGGAGAAGATACAAATTTTCCAATAGATGATAATACAATTTTTTGTTCTTCTTACAAAAATAAACAGTCAAAAACCACACAAGATGAATTAGGTGGTAGATCTTCAGTTACAAATCCTTTACAACTTGTCAAGTTGAAAACTGATGGTAGTGCAAAGGTGGTTTTATTAACTGACAATGTCGTTGAATTTTTCATCTTTAATGAATTTATGGCTGTTGCTACGGTTGGTTAACGTTGATTTTTTACGAGTATATTTTTAAGATTAAAATCTTTTTTTTAAAAAAAAGTAAACAATTCTTTTTTTTAATTTAGGAAGAACTTGGGCAATTGACTCTACGTATTTCAAAGGATGGAGATACTTTCAATGAAGCGATTTTCCCACCAGATATAGGTGTAGATAAACAAGTAAGTTTGATATTTAAATATTGATCGATGAAAAATGCTTAATCAAAATATAAATGTTTAAATAAATAGGCATATACTATTCTTCAATCAACTACCGGATCTGTGTTCCTTGATGCATACAAATCTATAATTTATGGATCCGAGTATGGTTCCTTGTTTAAATCTAACTCAAAAGGAACGGCCTTCGATAAAATCCTTGATAACACCAACCGCAATAATAGAGGAAATGTGGATTTCGAAAAAGTTCAAGGATTAGATGGAATTATTCTCGCTAATATAGTTGATAATGTTAATGAACTTGGTGGTGGCTCCAAGAAAATAATAAAGACATTGATTAGTTATGATGATGGTAGGTATTTTAATATTTAGTTTAAAGGTTTAACATCATTTATTAAATTTTATTTTCATTTCAGGTTCTCACTGGAAACCTTTGAAACATAATGGGGTTTGTAAATTTCATCTAATTCAGAAGTTATTCTCTTATATTTTTAATTCTAAATTACATCTATTTTTTTTAAAAAAAAAAATTTTCTCAGGATCGTCTTCATTTACATAGTCGTACTGATATTCTTGGACCAGGTAGTGTATATAGTGCCTCACCTGCGATCGGCCTTTTGATTGGAGTTGGCAATGTTGGAGATCACCTTTTGCCATACACCGAATGTAACACGTTTATGAGTCGCGACGGTGGTAGAAATTGGAAAGAAATACGACGTGGAGAAAGTTTACATGCATATGGTGACCGAGGAACAATTATTGTTGTGGTAGATGATGAAGCTCCCACAGATCACGTATTGTAAGTTAAACTTTTATAGCTTAATATTATTTCTTTAATAAAATAATTGTTATTTTCTCTAAAGAGAAATTAACATCTTTTTTTTTTTACCTATATAGGTATAGTTGGAATTACGGGAAAGATTGGAACAAATATATATTCTCATCAACTCCTGTCCGAGTTAAATTTCTTACAAATTCAAATTCCAATGGTATGAAATTCTTGTTACTTGGATACACTGTACCAGCCAATAAAGTTCGACCAGTTACTGTTACCATTGACATTACACAATTGAAAAAAAGAAAATGTAAGCAAATTTATTATAATAAAAAATTTATTAAATTTATTACATTTAGTCATTCATTCAATAATTTAATTTTAAAATTCAGGCGTATTGGATAAAGATGATGATGCTAAAAACGATTTTGAATTATGGAATCCAATGGATCAAGAAAGTGATGATCATAAGTGTCTTTTGGGCGAAGAGGTTGGCTTAATGACAGTAACTTTTGTACAGGCTAATTGTCATTTAAAAACTTAACATTTTAACCTCGATATTATTAGATAAAATATTGGCGACGTAAAGCTAATAGAGAATGTCATATCGGAGATATGAAAGATGATCTAATAACAGTACAGAAAAATTGTGAATGCACCAAACACGATTTTGAGTGGTAAATTATATACAATTTTAGTTTTTTAATTCTTTAGATTTTCAAAAAAAAATAACACATTTTTTTAGTGATATTGGTTTTTGGCGAGACGAAAACCGAAAATGTACGTTGAAAGGACCTGATCCAGAACGCCCACCTAATTGCCCTGAGGATGGGACATACACAGGACGCTCAGGTTATGTTAAGATGGAAAAATCAAAATGTAAAGGAGGTAAAAACCTTGGTGAAAAGATTGAAAGAAACTGTAAATCAGGTATGATTACTTTTTTTTCTAAATATATTTCTTTCAAATAAAATCAAAGACTAATTATGATTTATTTTTAAGAAAACTCTGGTATTATTTCTCAAACGGTACGTATGCTAACGTCGTATTAAAGTTAAAAAGTATTTTAATAATTAATTTTATTTAACCTATAGAAAGTATTTGAAAGTCGAATTGCCAAATACTTTTATTCCAATGAATCCACCGCCATTTTGGCACGAACAATGGATCACACGATATGGAGAAGTATTGATGAAGGTTATTCATGGAACACAATCGTTATGCCTGATGTTGATGCTAAAGTAATTGCTTTGGTTCAAAATTCTTATTTCAGCAATTATGTAAGCTAATGGTTTTGATTTATCCGTTATATCTTTTTAATTATAAAAATAACTAATGTTTGTAATTTTTTTTTTTTTTAAAAAAAAAAAGGTTTATTTTATTACATCTGGAAAAAAACATTATTATACTGATGATTTTGGGAATACTATCAAAAGTCTTGTTGTCAAAGCTGAGCCCAATGGGTATCTTGCTCCGACAATTCTTGATTTCCATCCTAGTGAGCCGGGATATTTGATTTACACGGTCGGTAAGAATTGTGAAACCTTATACTCTCCAAATTGTCATACTGAGGTAAATAATATAAATCGAATACTTTGATTTAATTGATCATTTACAGTTATAGTTTTAAAATTTTGTTTAATGTTATCTTCACAGGCATATTATACTCGGGATTTCGGTGAAAATTGGGATACACTCGATACATATGTTGGAACATGTTCATGGGCTCGTGATAAGAACTTCAACGTATCCCCAAATCTTATTTTTTGCGAGTCGTATCGTGATAAAGAAGGATCTCAATTATCATTTTTCAACAATCCACTTCAATTTGTATCTTCAACGGACTTTTTCAAAAATAAAAGGCTCCATTATCAAAATATTGTTGGATTCGCCGTTTTTGAAGAATTTATGGTTGTTGCTGAGGTTTGTACTCTCATTAAAACTTCTATTTATTTTGATGGTTTCGGGTATTATGGTTTTTTTATTTACGTTTGTCTCTACTTTAATAAAGCTTATGGAAACTAGCGCAAGTCTTCGTCTTTGGGTTTCGGTTGATGCTGAAAAATTTGCGGAAGCCCAATTTCCACCAAACATGCCAATAACTCGAGAGGTTCGTTTTAATATATATATATATTTATAATTTGGAAATTTTTTTTTTTTTAAAAAAAAAGAGATTAATTTGTAACTTCTCTTTTTATTTATAGGCCTTTACTGTCTTGGAATCAATCACTCATTCTATCAATCTTCATGTCACTACTTCAGTAAAAAATAAATTTGGCAACGTCTTGAAATCCGATTCGAATGGAACTTATTATTCGTTATCATTGGAAAACGCCAATCGAGATGATCGCGGTTACGTTGATTTTGAAAAAATGCAAGGCATCCGAGGGATTGCTTTGGCAAATATCGTTAGTAACGTTAATGAAGTTATTATGGGTGATAATAAAAAGTTGAAAACTAAGATTTCATTTAATGACGGCAAGTGAAGAGATTTGTTTTATATATATTCTGGTGTCATCCCATGTGATTTTATTAACAAAAAATTTTTTTTCTAGGATCCATTTGGAGTTTTTTGAAACGACCAAAAGTCGATTCAGATGACAATAGATATGAATGCGATACAGATGAAAACGAGGTGAATAATAATATTGGAATACTCGCAGCAAATATTGCATTGATGTTAATAATATTTTAATTTTATTACAGAACGATACGGAAGGTCGTTGCGCTTTACACTTGCATAGCTTTACTGAACGTAGAAATCCTAGCGATTCTTTCAGTTCCTCTTCTGCTGTTGGTTTGATGATGGGCGTAGGAAATGTTGGCGAATATCTTACTTCATACTTTGACGGAGATACTTTCCTAACTAGAGATGCAGGTGTCACATGGACGGAAATTAAAAAGGGTGCTTATATGTATGAATTTGGAGACCAAGGTGGAATCTTGGTGTTGGTTGATGACGAGCGTGAAACAGACCGCGTAATGTAAGTTTTATTCATTTACAATTTCATTATTTTATTTATACTATTTAATATTTAACAATTTTTTTCGACATTAAGATATTCACTTAACGAAGGAGATTCATGGCAAGAATATAAGTTTCTTAAAAACAAAGAAAAACCGATCAGAATTATAGATATTGATATCAAGCCAGGTGGATTAAGCAGTAAATTCATATTACGTGGGATACTTCCATCCGATTATAATAAGGAAGTTATAGTGCATCTTGATTTTACAAACGCCTTTCCACGAGACTGTAAGTATATAATTATTTAATTAATTAACTATTATGTGATATCTTTACATATTTTATTGTTTGTAATTGTTAGGTAAAGACGATGATTTTGAACCTTGGTCACCAAGCCATGCAAATCATGCAAATTCAGAAGATCAATGTTTATTCGGTCGCAAGGTAATTTTTACAATGGAGATTTATTTCCTCTCATGTGTAATAGTTTAACATATTCAATTGTTTTTTTTTTATTATACGCGCAGATTACGTATCAGCGAAAGAAACCCGGGATAGAATGTTTCATTAAAGATATTAAACCTGTTGAAGAAGGAAGTAAATGTGAATGTAAAAGACACGATTTCGAATGGTAAGCCAATTTAATATTTTTTTTTTTTTTGACTGAACAATAAAATAAGAATATTTTGAATTGATCACGAAGTTTTTTTGTACTAGTGATTATAATTACATGCGTAACGCGACAGATTATTGCGTATTGGTGTCTCCTGACGCAAAACCATTAGTTCGTAGTATTTCTGAACAATGTGCTAATGGTGAAGAATTTTGGTATGAAGGGTCTGGGTAAGTGGTGGATTTAATAATAGATATATGGTTTTTTTTTTTAATTAAACTCAAACTTTATGGTTAATCTTTGCTCGCTTTTAAACTAGTTATCGTAAACTTGCAATATCCAATTGTACGGGAGGATCCGTTAATTATACTGGTGATAGTCATCGTTGCCCGGGACACCATTCCGCTTTATTCTGGATATTTGTTGTATTGTCGCCTTTCGTCATTGTTGGAATTTTGACAATTTGCTTAATTAACAAAAGACATGAACGGTTAGTTGGGTTTAGTACTCGTATTGTATCTTTTATATCACATCATTTACTAACAACTTTTTTTATATTCGTTAGACATATTCGACTCGGAAGTTCTCTTGAACCTAATTCTATCCTATCGTCTATCATTGATATATTTTATCAAATCAAAATACCAAGATTTATTTCAAGATTATGGTTTAAAGTCCCATTACCGGGTCGCGGATACCGTTATTCACCTGTTGCTACAGATGATGGACATGAAGTTTTAATGGATGATTATGATCATGATATCGAGGCTTCATAATTAAATAAATCTCTTATGTACAATATACTTCATGTAGAATTCTTGAACATTTCAATTTTTTTTAAAAAATCTTCTTCACTTTGTATTTATTTATTCTCTTTTATTTTGTACTTTCGTTTATGATGAACGTTAAAAACAAATACAGTATAGTGATTCCCTTTCTATATTAAATAAATTAGAATCAAACAAAATTACAAACGCGTATCTCTATTACTGAATTTGAAAAAATAGTTATTTTTTTGTGCAACCAAAATATTTATTCACTTAATAATTTGTGATATTTACAGTGAGCATATCGGACATTTGTATAATTGGCTGTTACACAAAATTGTGTAACATCGCTTTTTATACAGTTTAAAGTAATA